CGGAATAATAACTTTTTTTCGCCAAAACTATAGAAGGTAAAGGTATAAAACCTTATATCATTGAAATTAGCTCACAAAGAGCTATTCAATGAAAAAATAATATAGTGGGTGTCCCATTTAAAAAAATACAACTTTGGTCAATATTCCAAAATCAGAGGCATCTGGAGAAAAATTGGTCATGCCACTGGATTCTCCTTGAAAAACTGCCAATAGAAATTATTTTCCGTTTTCGGACATCTTGATTAATAAAGAAATTAGGAGGTCTTTTAAAATTGCAGAGAGAGAGAGAGAGAGAGAGAGAGAGAGAGAGAGAGAGAGAGAGAGAGAGAGAGAGAGAGAGAGAGAGAGAGAAGTCTTTGTGTTTTTAATCGATGGTTCTTTGTAATGGTGCCTCTGGGTGTCGAATGATAACGAGAAAGGGTTTTTTCTTGAGGCAGAACAACTGTCTTCCATCTCATCTTTAGTTGTTCTGCCATGTACAAAATTTTGATTCCCACCTAGTTTCTCTAGATCTTCGCAAGCGTCCTCTTCAATCAACTCAGAAACTTCCAGTATATCTTCATCAATGTTATCAAGGCTGATTTCTGTAATCAAGGGGTCAGATTCCAGGCAGAATAATAAGAGGTCCTAACACTGACGATAATACCGAAAATTTCAAATGATGATGGTATCTCTGATACTGAGCTCGATGATGAAGGTCTTTTTTGGAGGTATGAGAGAATGCTTGGGTTTTTTGAGGATCCTTTTTTGTCTCTGTGATTTTTTTACTAGCTTGAGAAAAATGGGTCTTGATATGCCTATTAAAATTTGAGCAAACCCATTTTTTTTGTGGGTATTAAGACTAAACTAACAGTAACAAAATCACACTCTGGGCATCGTATTCATGGATTTCCCTCTTTTAATACCACAAACCACTGCCATTTTGTCTATATTAGCTAGAGATCGTTTTCGTTTGAAAGGTCTCCCAAATTAGATAAAAAACTACTAGAACAAGTATGAATTAAATTTTTTATGTGCGTAATTGTGGATTGTCCGAAGGATTGTGATTCATTTTCTTGCTTCCATCATTATAAAAAGATGTCGAGAAATTATTTTCCAAACGCTCATCTGCGTTGAATCTCTGTGCTGTCAAGCAACTAAACAAATGTTTCTATTGAGGATTCTATATAAATATTGCACATGCACACATCAAATTCGCGATCAAAAGCATGTGGCAAATGACTACGAATGCCGCGACCAAACTCCTCAAAATTGTCGTGAATACCAATGAATGCCGCGCGACTTCCAGCGACTACCGCGCGACTTCCAGTGACTGCCAAGTAAGTTCTAGCGACTACGCGGAATTCCGCCACTGACTGCCAAACTTCCAATGACTACCAAGCGAATTCCTGTGACTTCCACAATACAATCAAGAAAATGTACATGTAATTCCAGAAGTGACACACCCCTCGAGGGTTTCATAGCTTAGAGATTAGTTTTTCAGACTTTAAACTTTGTAGAAGTTCTCCCAAATTTAAAGTGCCATCGTGAGCACTAGAAATCAGAAAATATTTATAGTGAAGACATTCCTGAGGAAAATAAACGACCAGATCGTTTTTATATCGGGTCTTAAAAAAAAAAAAACAATCAAAGATTTCTTTGAATACGAAAACGTATGTCGCATTATTGTTTCTTTATTGGTCAGGATTTTTGGAATGACATTTTGACATTGAAGTTCATTGACAAAATTAAAGAAAAATATTGCTAAGACATACCTACGTTTTAAAAACCATAGCAATCTTTGATTGTTTTTTTTTTTGAAGACCCGATATGTTTCCTCAAGTCGCTTTGCTTTTGTTCTAAGAACAAAATCCATTATCTGACGAATAAATAAGAACATAATGTTCTTATTTATTCGTCAGATAATGGACCTGTTCGGGTTTGAAAAACGGAAGGTTCTAGAGCGGTTCAAAACAATCGCACAGTTTATTATTGAAGTTTGTGATAGCCGAGCCGTTGTCATGTTGCTGATTGATAAACTGTGTGATTGTTTTGAACCATTCTAGAACCGTCCTTTTTTCAAACCCGAATAAAGCTATCATGACAAATTTATAAAAAAAGCCAGTTTCAAGGTCAAAATTTTTTCATATTATGGCCGTGTTCGTTTTTGCCATCATTTTCGTCAATTTGCTCCGAAATTTCGACAGTCGCGTGAATGGATCAGACAGTTTCAATTTACAGATCACAAGCCTATTAAAATTTCGGAGCAAATTGATGAAAAAGATGACAAAAACGAACACGGCTTATGTGTAAGAAGTTGAGTTTTTGTCATTTTCACTGAAATCGCCTGGCAATCCTCCGAAATCGCAAATTTTTAGAAATTTTTTCTGAAATTGCTGCAATCATTTGGAAATCATAGGATTTCCGCAATACATGTACAGGGTGATCCAGTATAAAGTGAACACCCCCTACCTTTTCGCAAAAAATTTTTTTTTTAAAAAATCAAGATAGCCATTTAATGTATTTTGTTTCTAGGAATTTGAAAACGTTTTTTGAAATTTAATTACATTTTTCGTTAAAGCGCTGTGACGCCAAAAGTAATTTTTTTAAATGGAATAACCTATATTCAAATCAATTTTTTGAACGCCCCCATTTTCCTCATTTCAAATATATAGTTTGTTTATCTTTATTTTAGTAATTTGCGATATATTCTCACTTCAAAATTCACATAAAAATAGCCGAAAAGGTATCATAAAACATAATAACCAGTAGTTTTATTAAAGGTAAAATTATTTAGGTTTACCTTGATACCTTTTTGGCTATTTCTATTTGAATCTTAAGATTCTTAAGTGAAAATATATTCCAAATCACTAAAATAAAGATAAACAAACTATATATATTTGAAATGAGAAAAATAAGGGCGTTTAAGAAATGGATTTAAATATAGGTTATTCCATTTAAAAAAATTACTTTTGTCGTCACACCGCTTTAACGAAAAATCCAATTAAATTTCATAAAACGTTTTCAAATTCCTAGAAACAAAATACCCTAAATAGCTATCTTGATTTTTTAAAAAAAAAAAATTTTAGCGGTAGGGGGTGTTCACTTTATACTGGATCACCCTGTACATATTTTTCGGGAGTGGTCGCCCCCTCGGGGCAGTATTAGTTAAATGAAAACTGGTCATATGGAATAATATTGATATTGTACAGCAAAGCTGTCAGTACTTCAAGTAAATTTCTTGGAAAATGTATTTCAATTACTTTTTAGTATTTGAATTACTATAATTCAAATACTTTTGTTTTTGGATATTTGTACTTGAATCTGCAAATACTTTTAATAAAGTATTTGTATTTGGTACTTGGATTTACGAAAAAAGTAATTCAAATACTGGACATTTCTACTCAATATACTAGATAAATTTTAAATCGTTAAATTGAAAGTAACTACAATATGCAACTGGAATCTTGTAATTTGGAATCTCTGTAGTACTTTTTTAGAGGTACCGAAAAACGGGGATATTTTGTGACAACTTTGAGGTTTTTTGAAATTCTCGAACATTTCTTTGCCATATAAAATTCTGAAAAAAAAATACACTATGTACCTATATCCGTTCTTACGCTACAGACTGGCAATTCTAGAAAATTGAAAAAATAATGATAATTCAGCCTTTTTTTAATTTGAAGTTGTCCCAATTTTACCCCGTGCTGCAGGGTAACTTTGTGACAGTGCATTTTTACAATGAAAACATAATGTAACCCCGGCATTTTTAGTCTGAAACGATAGGAAATGTCAACAAATATTTGCTAGAGAATTTCATACATCTGTCAAAACTGGTATTCCAACAATGAACTGACATGTTTTGATTGTTGATTTGAACCAATCAGATTGCAATTACGCGATAATTTGCACTAGTGCAAATTATCAGATAATTACATAGTAACTGGTGCGAAAACTGGTGTTTTGACATTTTTTGACAAAAAATTTAAATTTTTGATTCATGAAATTCTCTCATTAAATACAACTCGTGCAATGGAAATATATCTATAATTTTCGACAAATTTGCACTCATGCATTTTTAACTACATTCGGGCAAATTTCCCAAAAATTATCAATAATTTCCATTGCACTAGTTATATTACTATTGATAATTTTTTCATATTAGAAACACAGGTATATACTGATTTAGATATTTTAAACTTTTATTGTATATCATACGATATAGTATTTATCACCCGCATATTCAGCCAGAAATTAGGATGTGAACTCCATCAATAGGAAGTCGTCCACATTAGGAGATATGTCCATCCTTTCAGGTTGAACATAAGCTTCTTCTATTTACTAATTATATGTATGTCACATAGTTGCCCTGGAAACAGGGCCGATCGAAATCGGAAAGTTACTCTGTTTTGTTTATTGTTGAAAAAAATATGTTAAACTGATAAATCGTAAGCGTATTTACTTAGATATCCCAAAAAGAAGGTGGTATCTAAGCAATTGGAAATTCTTACGATTTTTTCTGAGGAGGTTTCAAACCCAGCTTGCCAAGCGGCTTTTGTAGCGAGCGAGGTACCTATATGTCGTGGGCGTACTGGGAAAACCCACTAAGTCACAAAAGTTAAGTTTTGAGAAAAACACATTTGAAGTATTATTTACCTGCCAAAAATCAGATTCATCCCAAAATTATGATTTAGTGTAATAGTCTAATTTAGTTGAGTAATGTTCAAGCTAAAATGTCTAGATTGCTAAGTTTTTCCATTATAAAACAGCTCTAGTACTCAAAAAAAACAAAAAAAGTGGAGTTAGTGGATTTTACTTGACAAATAATTTTAGATTTGAAAAAAATACAATAGAATAAAACTTGCGTTTTTCCCGTTTTAAGGGTTGATGGTGTACCTAATAGCTACAAAAAAACAATTCTCGATTTTTAAATATTTTTACTACTTAATAACAAAAAAAAAATAGATCTTCCACGTGAATTTAAAAAAAATCTTCACAAAAAAATTAGTTTGCTTCATTATTTAGGTGGAAAAGTCTTCTTCTTCATCGCTGTCTTCAGCAGCTGGCTCAGGAACCACATCTTTCGCAGTTTTTGATACGGGAAGAGATTTGTACCACCCATGAAACTCATCAGGTATAACTCTGTTGCGACATAATTTAAGCAAGTCATTTTTTTTCTGAATGCCTATTGGTAGCATTTTTTTGTAAAGCTTTGGTAAAAATGGTTGCTGATTTGAGATTGGCCGTCCTTTACCAAAGACGTTTATTGAGCAGTAAGAGGCACTGTGTTCGTATTTGTACTGAATGATTCCTGGTTCTTTTTTCGAGTATTTCAAGCTTTTAATTAATAGCCAGTTAACAACTTCCCCATTTGTATCTTTAGATCTATTTTTGATAAGAGATTTTGATAGTTCTTTTAGATCCAAGAAGTCGTTATATTTAAGTTCTTCCACTTCATAAGGCTTAGCTTTAATCGATTTTCGCTTTGACCTTGCTGCGCGAAAAATATTTAACCAGTCATTCATTGCAAACACAGACACATACTTTTTGGCTTTTTCGATGGAGCTATGCATTGAGTCAGCTTCCATATAACTATGCCCACTTTCCAGAAACTTATGTTCGATAACCTCAATGTGCGTTTCTTGTACAGCGTACAATAAAAGTGCTGCTACATGTTGATTTCGGTTTTGTCCTCCACATGTATCAGACCAAAATACTACTTCATCAACATGTGGAGCCAACTGGTTTAGATACTCAAAAAGACATGTGCCTATCTTTGAACTTCCTCGTTTTCCATTAAGTTCCGTCCAGCAAAAGCAATATGCATCTTCGACTGATTCGTAAATCGTCAGATTGTACACACATAATTTTCTAGAGTAATACATAGGGCTGACATCAGAGCTGGGAATTTGTAAAACAGACTGTAAATCAAATGTGGAAAACACAAAATTATTTTCTCTAGAAGCTCTTTCTTTATCCAGCCGCTTTGCTTCGTAGCAGTCGTCTCTTCTTTTTAAATGCTTAACGTAGGCTTCTTTATTTTTTGAAGTTTCGGCAGTGCAGGGTTTATTAGCTTCACAAATTTGGCACTGATCTTTTCTCGGTTTGAAAAACGATAAGTTATAATTCACTCCAAATATTCTTTTGTATGTTATGAGTGACACTTTTGGTTTCCGTTCACGTTCACATTCCTGCAAGTATAATTCGTGCATTTTTGAAATAGACAGTTTGCGGTCTAAATACAGCCTTTTAGTATCACGTCGGGAGTAATGAGACTCCATAGTGGGAAAGCATTCAATATGGCGCTTCACATCATCAATGACCTCGGGCTTAGTTTTATTGGGAGGTGATGATTTCCCCCTTTTGTCTTCGCCAACAAAGTTTCCCGAAGGGCCTCTACTTTTAAATGCATTTAAAACAACATAATTACTTATGTGGAGTGTCTTTAAAAAGAAAGACTGGCAGATACGAATTTTAGTCTTGTTTTTTTGAAAATGATATTGCTTAGAATTGCTACGAGGTATTGATTCATTACTTTTAGCCCTTCTCCTCTCAGGACTCTTTAGGGTGCAATTACTTAAAATAAAATCTTTTTGTCGGATATAATCAAGCTTCCAGTATTCCGAGCAAAATGTTTTTCTGTCTTCTTCTGAAAATGATTCTTGGCACTTGAAACGACATTTTTGGCAGTTAACAGTCTTGGGTACCTTCGCAGGTCGTTTCTTTTTTTTGATTTCATAATCTAAGCCTTGGCTTCTTCTCCTTTTGGCCACATTATGTTTCCAAGTATCGGGATTGGCTTTTTTCCAGCGGGTTAGTTTTTTTTCAATTGTTTTGCTGTCTTCAACCTCAGTGCCTGGCTCATTAAGTGACTCTGCATCTGACGCGGAAGAGGAAGAACTTCGAGTGTACGTTGGATCTTCAACTGAATCGTCACTTAAATTTAGTGGATCTAAAAAATAGGATTTTAATTACATAGAAATCGCAATACCAAACACTATTACCTGCTAACGGAGTTGAGGAGGTTGGAGATTGTTGAACAACTTCGTTTGTGACTATTTCAGTAAACGCGAGATTTTGAACTGGTTCTACAATACAATAAGTGTCAGCTTTAAGAGGAGAGCAAAAATATTAAAATAGCAAACCCGAATTATTCTCATTTTCTATAGTAATCTTCTCATGTTTCACTAGTCTTTCAGACAACGAAGATGTGCCTTGATCGATTGGACCAATGCTGTCTGTAAAGTCCTCATAATACGCCGTAGAATCTACTAGTGAGCCTAAAAGAGAAGAATCGTATAGGAAAACGATTTTTTTCCCACTTCTTGCTGTTGAAACTATTTATTATTTTAAGTATTAATACACTCTGTACGAACCTTCCTGATAATTTGCCATTTCTACTATCTCTGAAGACCCTTGTGCAGGCTGATCTCTGCTGAACTTAATTGGTTCACTTTCCGTGTCTTTCTCAACTCTCTCAAATCTACAGTGTTTATTGGTTTCTATTAACTCACTCGTTTCCTGTCTGAATTCCTGAATTTCTTCGGTCTCTTTGCTTATTCCTATTTTTTTTACAAGTTTCTTTTTCTTAGCCTCATATTCAGCTTCTTTTACCATTTTAACAATTCTTTTGCCTCTTGAAAGCATTTTTAAACAATAAAAACCATAGCACTTCATACACTGAACCAATACTAATCAATACTGAAATGGCCAAAATAAGTGTTGTCAAAATAATAACCTCACTTTTTGGATTTAGTTGGTTTTTTCTGTCAAGATTCCAACTCAATCTTTTTTCCAAATATCGGAAAACACATTAGGTGCACTTAGTGGGTTTTTACTGTTACAGATTCTAGCCTCATTCTTGCATAAAGAATGGAAAACACATTAAGTGCATTTAGTGAGTTTTCCCTGTCACACTTTCTGCATTCACGGGAGTAAGCACTCACCAAAGGTACTTGGTGTGTTTTTCAGTATGTGAAAATTGTATTTTATGGAGTTAGTAGAATCAGGTTGTTTATTTTATACTTATCTAGGTCTAATTTGGAGTTGGAAGGTTTTCCAACTTAAGGATTGGATTTTTGTGGACTTAGTGGTAAGGATAACTCAAACATGATTAAAATGGAGTTAGTGAGTTTTCCCAGTACGCCCACGATGTGTTTCCACCTATCGGTAGAAAAATTTGGGGCTTCGCGCACAGAATTTAAAATGTTTGCTTAATTTGAATTGAATTTCACAATGTCAAAAAGTTTCTCCCTTGTCACTAAGTATCCCCGTTCCAATTTTCAGCCTTCAATACAATTTAAATAAAATTCTTGAATAATTTGAATTCCTTTTTAGTGGGTACTTGAAGTACTTTTTATTATTTCAAATACACCATGGGTATTTCAAATATTTAATTAAATACTTGAAATACTTACAGAGTATTTCAATTATTTTACTTGAAAAAATCAAGTACTAAATTAAAGAAATTGAAACTTGAAATACTTTTCAAATTGAAAGTATTTAGTATTTGTACTTGCAACACGAATTTCCCTTAATTGATACTTGGTATTTGAAATACTTTTTTCCAGTAGGTATTTGTGACAGCTCTGTTGTACAGTATAAACTATCGATTTAAATCAAATTTGGAAAATTTTGTTTCACTTGCAAGTTCCCTATTGCCCTCCTGTGTCAAAAAATGATGATGAATCTAGAGGAGGCCTTATCCCTTATCGTATTGATACAATAGTTCACTGTACAGTTTGGTTAATCTGTTAATCCTCCTCGAGCAAAAAGATGACAACCACATGTGACCTGGAGTCGCTTTCCAGTGACTCACTTAAGGCACTCCAGCTGCTCTACTAGAGCGCCCGGGCTGTTTATAGGCGTTAGAATTTCGCGCAACTGAACTGTTTGTTTTTCCCTCGGTTTTTCCTTTCCCCTGCCCTCTAAAAACCCGACCTCGAACCTGACGCTTGTGCGTTCCAGTGAAACAACAGTTGTTTGGAGCACTAGTTAACTCAACAACTAAACTCTTTACAACTCTCAACAATAATTCCTATCTAAATCGTATCACAGTCAATCTTAACCTTAAAACTACTAACTAATACCGGCCTTCATATATCCGTAATCTATTTGCGTAGAATCCAGAATAAACGCGATAATCATTTTACCCAAAGTATTTTCTAGATTTCAAGGTAAATTCTGTACATGCATGCTGGCGAACGCGCCACAGTACTAGGTCTGTTTCTGCAAAAATCACAAACCAGTCAGAGCGGATTTCATTAGTTGAAAACAGTCAGAAAACTAGTTTCAACCAATGAAATTCGCTCTGACTGGTTTCTGATTTCTGATGCAGAAACAGACCTTATTGTCGCCAGCAGCGGGCGCGCTCTCCGCCGATGAGTAAGTGATTCCCGCGAGCAGTGACACAGGTGATACAGCGCAGAGCGTCTAGAGTCAAGACCATTACTATCAAATGGTAATATTAAACGATCAATCCTTGCACAATCGTGACGAAAAATTTGGAAAAAATAAAATAAATTGACGAAATGGGGGGCTGGCAACATTTAAAAAAAAAATTGTTCGATAACAAAATAAATGAAAACTCAATTATGAAACGTTGATATTAAACTATCGAACCTCGCACAGTCGTGAAAATAATAATTTTTGAAAAAGTGGGGGGCTGACAATACACACAAAAAAATAATTTTGGATAACTCTGTAAAAAATCGCTATCAAACGATCTACTATCAAACGAGCGAGAGTGAAAAAACTGAAAAATTTTAATTTGGGAGGGGGCTAAGTCTACAGAGGTGAGACCTAGGTAACAATGTGCAGATGGGATCACTTAGGTTTCACCCTGCAACTAAGACAGTTTTGAGTTTTGTTTGCGTGTGTTTGAAGTTTCGTTTTATATTGTTAATAGAGTGCTTTTCCATTGAGAATGAACTTTGACGAACGGATTTTGGTGGAAACCATACAGACTTTTCCATGTATATGGAACACCAAGAATAAGGAGCACCAGGATTCATTGATTGTCGAGAATGCTTGGAAAAGCATTGCTATAATGATGGCTGAAAGTGGTAAGTGTTTTTTTTTTCTTATTCTTCTTCATACCTATGTATAGGATTTTTTTCAGTTGAAAGCTGCAAAGATACTTGGAAAAGTCTTCGGTCCAAATACATTAGGGAGAGAAAACGCAGCCTCAAAATGTCATCAGGATCAGCTTCCTATTCAGGAAATTGGCCCCTATATAAAAGCATGAGCTTTTTAGCCTCCGTTATACAAACGAGAAGGTTAGCACTTAATAACTATTGTAGTTTGTCTCAAGATGTGAGAAGGCGTAAACCCTCAACAAACTTAAACTTAAACTCCTTGTCACAAAATTTGTCTTTTCTCTTGTCTACTTAGTAAAATAGAAAAAAGCCCCAATTATTTCACATGAATATTTTTTGAAATATTAGCAATACATATTAAAATATTTATTTATTTTTTATTTCAGATCAATTAGTAATGTTGCCACCAAGAAAACTGGAAGAGTGTCACCACCACTTCAAACGCCCTTTTCCAGTTTATGGTCTGCGATGGTGGCAAAAGATGAATCCTCGTTACAAGAAACGTCTGGGCGGACCGATGAGGATTCTAAAGCTGCAAGCACAGAAACAGAGGAAGCGGTTCAAAATATTTCAGAGGATTTGACACCTCATGATTCCGCTTCTTGTACCACTGCAATCACCCCGAGTGGAACCACCACCCTCCAACCAATATCTGTAAGACAGGGTGTGAAGAGGAAGCAGTGTTCTGCAACACCATCTCCCTCTATAAAGGAAAATTCGGCTGATCCGGAAACACAAGCAAGCAGTGAAGACCGTTACTTCGGACTAAGCTTGGCGGAGTCCCTAGGCAAAATAGGAAATAGTAAAAAAAAAATGATTGTAAAAGCAAAGATTTTAACTATCATGGCTGAAGCACTGGATGATTGACTGATTTTTTTAAATATATGTATTATACTGATTAAACCCTTGTTTTTTTTAATTAAAATAACATGACAAGTTCTAGTTCTAAAATAGTCATTTATCGTCTATTTTTTTAGAGAAACAGTGACAATTTAAAATTATAGGTTGACTATGAAGACCCCGCACTTCTCGCTTTCGGTGAATTTGTCTGAAATTTGGATATGTTATGCTCCTAGACATTCTAAATAAAAAATTTCATTGGCACAAAAAAATACAACGAGCCATTTTCGAGTTATGTTAAGTTTAAAAGATATCAGATGCAACACACTTCAATTTTTTGTTACTTTATAAAAATGTAGGAATTACATTCATGAACAGGAAATAATCGCCCAGATAAGATACCGATTTATCTTGGGACAACGGCATTGAAACATACAGGGTGTCCACTTAGTGCGATATCGGACGATATCTCGTTACAGGGTGAGAAAAAAAATCTAAATTACAAAGCTGTTTGATATTCTAATATGCATTAGTTAAAAATATTTTTGAATATACAGGGTGCTCCGTTTATGGGGTATGCGACAGAACTTTGTTATTTTAAATGGAACACCCTGTATGTGATTGCATATTTGGATTCGACGTAAAATTCTGAGCAGATTTCATGTAATGTACCCTATACCTAAGTTCAACTGTTTTGGAAATATTGACAGTTGAAAATTGACTTTTTGCAACTTTGACCGGCTGTAAAACCTAAACGGTTAATTTTAGACGAAAACCGATTTCACATTCCTATCTTAGATTTGTATAAACTATCATTTGACACCAACTTTTAATTTAATCTATGATTAAAAATTCCAGTTAAATTTAATCTCCGGTTAAATTCAAAGAATGTGTCAAATGATAGTTTATGAAAATCTAAGATAGGAATGTAAAATCGGTTTTCGTCTAAAATTAACTGTTCAAGTTTTACAGCCTGTCAAAGTTGCAAAAAAACAATTTTCAACTGTCAATATTTCCAAAACAGTTGAACTTAGATATAGGGTATAATACATGAAATCTGCTTAGAATTTTACGTAGAATCCAAATCTGCAATCACATACGGGGTGTTCTATTTGAAATTACAACGTTCTGTCGCATACCCCATAAACGAAGCACCCTGTATATTCAAAAATATTTTTAACTAATGCATATTAGATTATCAAACAACTTTGTGATTTAAATTTTTTTACTTGCATCACCCTGTACGGAGATATCGTCCGATATCGCACTAAGTGGACACCCTGTATATGAGCGATGCTTTCTGACAAGTTACAAACTTTACAAACTGCCAGAGAGTCTTGTGAGAACCGACCTTTTAACGTCACGTATTCGTACATAAATTAAAAGCAGTAATTTCCGCGCTCTGCGCTATCTCATTGCAGGCATAGGGCCGTCATTTGATGAAGCCCGAATTGATTGTAGCTCCCAACGGGTAAAGGTATACCTATATACTTCAAATACAAGGATCGTATTTCTCTGACCAACTTAACAATGATGTAGCAATGTTACAACGCGAATTTGAAAGAAACATAGATGATATGAGGCAGTGGGTTCAAGAGGTTGACATTCTCATAGAAGACCGAGGATATCGAGATGCTGGTCCACTGCTTCAAGGCGTAGGCATTTGTCTACAAAATGCGGATACCTCTAGATCGGCGACAATTTGAACTTAGGATACTACTGAAGAAACAAAAGAATCACGTTTAGTAGCAAAAACCAGGTGGATACAATTAATGCAGGAAATGGATATGTCAAATCAACTTTTAAGTTTTTTACCTACGAGCGTGCGGTAAAGTGCACTTTACCGCACGTATTTGCAAATGGAAAGTAGCACTTTACTGCACAATTTGCGGTAAAGTTAACTTTACAGCATAGTGTGCGGTAAAGTTAACTTTACAGCATAGTATGCGGTAAAGTGGACTTCAAAGTGTGCGGTAAAGTGCACTTTACCGCATAGTGTGCGGTAAAGTAGAATTTGATATTTATAATCAAAAATCCTTTTTTTTTCCAGAAAATGGATTTTTGATAATTTCTAAATCTAATCTTATTTCATTAATTAATCTGATTCAATAATTAATTTTATCAATGCCCTTTTTTGGAGATGTAGATGCTCATAGGTAAAATTTTGTACCTAACACATGCAGAAAGTGCTTTTACCGCCCTTAACGGCTTGACCGAACTCCGCTTCGCGTCGTTCGGTCAACTGCCGTTGCGTGCGGTAAAGTATCACTTTCCGCATTTGTTAGGTAAATAACTATATCGCATTTTTGACAGTAATGTGATACATAACTGCATTCAAAATTGAGTGGTATTTTTTTACCTGGATAGCAACACTTTACCACATAGCAACGTCATTGGATAGCAACCATTTTGTAAATCAATTTCCATTTGTTAAGTGTTATTCACAGTGTGCGAAATTGCAGCATTTCGCAATTTCACGCCAATCAAATAAATTAAAAATAGGAAAAAGTATTTTTATTTCTGGTTATTATAAAAATTGATAATACAATTATTAACTTCCATTTTTTGCGTTTGCTGGATAGACGAATCGGAATGTTGATCCAGGACAACCCCGCCTGAAGCAATAAAAAGCGAACGTTCTTTAAAGTGTCGTGTAGGAAGAACCTTAAACCTTGACAATGTCAATGTCATGGAACCTAAATTTGTATTTCAAATTTCTATCAAAATTTAGGAAAAAATATCTTATGAACACAGGATCTGAAACAGTTATATTTAGTTGATTTACCTTTTCATAAAAAAAAGCCAACATGAGGTCCTCATTCGGCACTTCTTCCACGTTATTCAATAATTTCCATTGACGGAATTGGTCATATACTTTCTCATACTTTGATTTTGATTTCTCAGCTCTTCCAAAGTCTTCGGATTCATTTCACTGGACGCGATTCCGAAAATTCTTTTTGTTTTTTTTTTATTGTAATGAATAATGTCATGTCATCGGTTTCGTTATCGAAAAGAAAAACTAGCCAGTCATGGGCCACCAGGCACAGGTCTGTTATGATTTCAAAAATTATGTTGTCTTGTCAAAAATAAGAACATTTCTCAATCATTCGAAGACAAAATGCGATAAACTAGTATAAGCAACGCATTTGCAAAGGGTTTTACCAATCTCGTGAGGCCTTAGAGAACTCGCTCGCTTCGCTCGCTCGTACACAAAACTGGCCACACTCAATTGGTAAAACCTCACTTTACTAAACTTGTTGCTTAATATACTATTAATGAATGTCTGATACTATTTTAATAGCACATCTTGTTTATCTCGGCGACCTTCACTCTACACTACAGAAATGCTGAAGCTATTCCAAATAGATATTATACGAGAAGATTAGTAGAGAGTAGAAGCAGAAAGTCGTAAGAGCCAAACACGGTGGATGAGTTCAGTTAAATTCGAACCACTAACCACTCACCTAATTTTCCTCGTCTCACTCTAAACGATCTGCGATACTTAAGTGTTGGTATTTACCAAATATCTCTTGCTCCGTACAAGACGCCATTATGCACCATGATGTACAGAACTCTTCTGAGCAAGGCAATAGGGTAGTGGACATGGTATAATTTCAATGAAATCGATGATCTATTGTTCATCTATGGAGTAAATGAAAAATATTCCTATTGAAAGAAAGGACCCCGCACATTTCTTATGGAAAAGTGATCTATGTGGAATTTTGCTGAATTTTTGATATTGTGTATAGGAAGTCGTCCTTAACAAAAGTGATCATTAAGCTAATGTTCAATACCCAACAGTTTTCAAGATATCAATTAAAAACTTTTTTAATAATACTCTTCAGTATGACGTCACTCACAGCAACGAAAATTATTACTATCCTTTCCACTTTTGACTTTGACTTTACTCTTCTCCTTTTAACATTAAGAAAAGAAAAAGATAGCGATAGCGATTAGTGACAAATAGGTAGGTATGCAAACAGCACCTCTAGCTCCTGCCGCAATCGTCAACTTCATGTCATGATGTCTGTCATATAGCGATTTCATTTGTACCTGTTGTTGTTTTTTTTTATTTCCCAAATGTTAAAAAGAGAAGAGTATAAGTATAGGTAGTCAAAGTTAAAAGTGAAAAGGATAGTTTTAATTTTCGGTGCTGTGAGCATACTGGTGACGTCATACTGAAGAGTATCAAATTAAAAAAGTTTTTAATTGATATCTTGACAACTGTTGGGTATTGAACATTAGCGCAATGATCACTTTTGTTAAGGACGACTCCCTATACACAATATCAAAAATTCAGCAAAATTCCACATAGATCACTTTTCCATAAGAAATGTGTGGGGTCCTTTCAGAAAAAATTGCTAACTTTGTTTAAAACGATTGTAAAAGTAGAGTTTTGGGACGCACTATTTAAACGAAAATATTTCGCGCCTGGATTTTACGTCATAGCTGTTGTATTTGAGTATGAAATGAATTAAACCTTCGTCCTATATTCGACACACACACTCATTAGTGCAAAAAAGAGAGATATATCAGCGTCTGTCGAGGCGCACCCTCAACTTAACCCCACTTTTTGAGAGATTATCATTTGTCAATCAATGCGCACTGAGCTTATCTGCATCTTTTTCTAGAAGCATGTAAAATATAAGGACGCACTGACCGCGCTCTCGCCGACTCTTATTAATGTCGGAATGTCTTTGACATAACAGCTGTGACGTAAGTTCCGGGCGGTAAATTATAGCGTTTAAAATAAGTATAAATTTGTTTATTTTTTTTTTAAGTATTTTTTTGTTTTCTAAAATCAAAGAATCATCAACTACTATTTATTTTGTTATGGAGATTACTAAAAAAAAATATTTCAATTTTTTTTTTTCTACGTTTGCACCACAGGTTATGATTCCATCTTTCTATTTGCCTATTATGCTTGATCAAAATAAAATAACATTTTTATCAAAAATTTAAATTCTAAACTACGACCAATGAACTATAACCAAAAACTGGAATGCTAACACATAAGGACGAACTTGAAGC